TATATTCTTGTTAGAAAATGTCCATCTGCAAATAATGGGCCCCTGAGTAAAATTAATCCCCACTAACATTAATAAATATTAAACTAAATCAACCTCTTTTTTTATTAAAACTGTGAATAAAATAATTGAACGTTTAGTTAAAATCTCTCTCTAACTACTGCGGCTAGTTTTCATTGAATATTCTAATAATTAACATCGATCAAAGGCCGACGCCAACTGAACGGAAGTTCCAAGAACGGAGTACCTTAAACTCGTTAGTCGGACGAGTCTATCTAAACGAACGGCAAAGATGAAAGAATACAATGTTCAAGTAAAAGCTGTTATCTCAGATCGTACGAACGTATTAAATAAAGCATGTCAACCCAAATTCAGTGGACGCTCAGTTGAGCCGGCAACAATAAAGCCGGCCCTTGTCTAACGTACGTACCTTCGCTTGAAGTGCTTGTCTTCCATTCAGCCTTAGCGTGCAATCTACCTTTATGTTCGATTCTCTTGGTCAATAGTTGGACATTTTTTTTACATCGATGGATATGTAGATCGATGGCTGACTGATCAACAAAAGAGTTTCGAAAACAGAGAGATTCAATCGTTGTTAGCAGAGGCTGAGGCCTGAAGCTGACAGAGGAATCACTCTCTTTTAGCGTATTGGCAATGGCCACGTTCTAGTAGATACACGTTATCAATAAATTTGGCAAACGTCGAACGCTTGAAGCTATGCGACATGCACCGTATAATTGATTATCTAGGTATCGATCGTAGGGATGTCAAAAATAGTGGACTAGCTAAAAAACTAAAAAATGCGGGAAATATTTATTTTTAGGCCAGTTGAAACAAGTAACATGTCTTAAGTTGCTCGTAAAGCAACACAGTATAGATCTGCCGCAGCAGACAAAACCCTTATCAAGTAGCGACACTTTATTTGAACGGCGTCTCGATGCTGAGCACTGAGAAAGGCCCATGCCGCGAAACTCAACATAACTTCAGGTCGCACTTAACTTATCTGCACTATTATTATGGACGTAAGGATATTACGGCTGCTATTGGCAAACGTTTAGTACTGGACTTAATTGCACTCTAGTCACTATTAGTTATATAGAGTGATATTATGATGATTAATCTACACACATCATTTTGCCAAGTGCCACTTCCTAGACTCTAGTGGCCGTTGATATACTACGGGGTACCGTATTTGAGAACACTGTGCTTTGGCAATTTTGTAGAGCTGCCAATTAGCCCTTGTATCTGGGTTTCATATTCAACGAAATGGAACAGAGGGCCGGACGCAATACGATCGGCAGAATCTATATTATACGACCATGTTTGACCAATAAGTCAGGTTGATTACAAGCATTGGTCACGAAGCGTTGTATTTTTGTTGATATGGCAGTTCCCTGATCGACATAAAAAGCCTATATATAGCGGTCCATTAGCCTATAATTTGGTCACACATTAAATACCAGCAAATTGTCAATGATCTATCGTTTAATAATAAACGGCTCTGTATTATTAAATAACGCCAGTAAGGAATAGTGGCAGGGACGTACCAAAGTAGCCTTAAAGAGTCCTTCCTACTGTTCACGTAAAAAGGACAATGGTGGGTAGCAGCAGACTAAACGACATGTTAGTTAAATTGTTATCGACGTACGTAGAAAATTGCCAGTTTTCGATCCAGTATGTTTTCTGCGCTTTCCCGTCAGACGATCAGAAACCAGAGATGACGAGGGAGGCGAAGGGTTACCTCGGAAGCTGGGTCAAAAAGAAATCTAACATTCTAATCCCGGCAACTCCTGGGTCTAGACAAGCAAACTCAATCGCTGGCGTAGCAGGTAACGCGCCAGCAGCATCGTACAACCACAAATATGGCGTACGCCCCCAAAGGAGCTATCAGTTATGCACTTACGATAATAAAAACAGACTAATGATTCTTGCACTTAGTGAAGCCTCGAAAGAATTATAATAGCTGAAACGCCATTATCGAGCTCAGTGAAATCGAGCGTGTGTGAAGATCAGTCGCCGGAACCACACAGCCATATATATAAATATATCGAAATGTGTTAACTAAACTATCATAGATAGAAACTTACAGTTAATAGAAGACATTTTATTTCTTTGAAGGCCCCGATGCAACCAAGAAATGAAACGCATATCACGAGTCCTCCACTGGTGACGAGTATAACCGCCGAAGATACGTATAGGTCAGAGCCTAAAAGGCGGGCCATAAAACTCCTTCAACGAACACACGATTAATATCATAACTTGCTATTATCTAATAACCGTATATAAGACTACTGAAATGTATCTAAAGCATTTATATAATTTAAAGAAACAACTGTAAAAAGATTAGGAGTGAACATTAGAATTAGACACATTCTAAGATCGAGAGTAAATAAGTCGTTATCGCAGATATAATAGATAGATAGATAGATAGATAGATAGATAGATAGATACGCGTGAGCAAGGCGTTATTTTACCTGTCCGCAAGGGTCCAGAGGCCGACAAAAAGGACCAATATACCACCGAACAATGTGAGGATGTTGGATACAAGCAGACATGATTTTACTAGACGACCACAGCCTTCGAGCATACGGGTGTCTGAAAGTGTCCAGTGCATTAGGTAAGTATACACCAGTTCTTAGTCTTAGCTTAGGTTGTGTTATTAGGAAATGCCCATATGTTCGAGAAGGGTGGGCAAAACTGTTATTAAACCCTTGATAAAGTAGGCACTATTAACGTATTCCATTAGCTCCATAGGCATCTATACTGGGGTATTTTTTCTTCTGCAAAATGTATCTACTGTACACTTTCTTTGTTTAGTAGCGAGAAAGTATTTTAACATAGTTTAATTTCTAAAGCTGATGGCCCATTTAAGCTTCGAATGTTTGGCTTTTCAAGAATGGTGAAGAGGTAAAACGTGATTACTGAGTAGTCTCCTTATGCAATACGGATAAATTAAGTTCTATGTGCAGCAGGGGTTATTTTATTACAGCCATGTGAAATAGCTACAATTAGCGTTGATCTAGGGAAACCTCTGTTAATTATTGGACGTTTTCGGTTTACTCAACATTCTGATATGTTTTATTAGATGAGCTGGAATAGAAATAAACCTTTTTTTCGAATCTAGTACAAATAACTAAAGCACTTCTGTGCGTTCTGCAGACTTCTGACGCCCTCGCATTGTGTGGGTCCTTAGTACTGATTAGTCAGAACAGAAACGGCCGAATAAAATTAAGAGTTTTCCAATTAGTTAAAGTGCCATTTATTATAAATAAATATGATGTTCCATTTATTTAGTAAAATTTTATTGATTTTTCGTTTTCTGTTCGGATAAAAATGTCTGCTTTTCTTATCTTGGTATTTTTTTTATCTTTTAGTGATTGATACACAGCCAAAATGCATGATTATCTCTCGTGTGCTTTTTGTAGCTTATCGCTGGTATCTTTTTACTCTGACCTGAACCATCTGCTACAGATGGAAACTTGCATAGATATCTGTTTCTAGTGGTCAACCTGTATGGACAAAGAAGATCGTCTCACACTGATTTAGCGCGGAAATGCTAATCTATCGAACCCAATAATACAGTAGCCATAAAAAATAAAGTTTTTTCTTTTTTTTTTACAAATCGTAACCACTGTTACTGTTTATTATATATAATAGCTTTCGTAGTTATATCGAAATTTCTCGAGTGTTACCACCGGCGTTAAGAATCGCTTTAGACCTTTGCAGCACGCAACGATTGTAATAGTATTTGTTCATTGAAACCAGGCTTGAGTAATATACTAAAGTAACCTTCGTATGACTTGCAATGGCCCCATTTCGGTGCCCCAGCCCTTTACTACTCAGTTTTTGCCTTAAAGCTGTCTTCCTTTTCAGCTCATAAATATTTTAATAATTTTTCCGTACAGATTTTATGCTTCTATTGTTCCGCTTGAATCTATTCGTATGGCCTTTTTTTTTTTAATCTCGTTTCGTTTTGGTTGTTAATGCCACGTTAACGCTGTGCTATTTCACTACCCAGCTAGCTATTTGAGGTCAAATCACCCATTCCATCAAATGTGAGAGAGGCTATATATCGCGAAGATTTAGCTCAGTCAGCAGTCGGTATCCAAGAAGAACGCACGCACGCGCGTCGGGCTTGCGGCCCTGCACACGTCGATATAAGCGCCTGTCGTCGATGCTAGAGAGCCGTTGCATGCTATGCAGTAATGGGAATGGCGGTAGCAGCGATAGCAGCAAACATTACGGCGGCAAATGTCCTATCAAGCACACTCACTCACTCACTCACTTATGCTGACTCGGACACAAACAGCAGACACCGCACAAGCGCCGCGAGAAACCAGGACAGGGATGCCGCTTCGTTCGTGTACACCCAAATCTACAATAGTAGCTGATGTGCCAGAGGATGATCTGGGTCAGAACGTTAGGGCACCCGTCGTTGATCATGATGGTGGTAACGGTAACATATGCGTACGACGAACGACATCACGAGGAAAACCGAACGAAATTATAGGGCGGGAAGGCGAAAAAGCAGGTCGACGTTTAGCAGCAGCTTCCAGCAGGGGAAAACGGACAAAAGCCGATGCAGGCCCTCGGCTGCAATATTGGTCGACTCGTTAGAGCTGGCCTAAACGATTGTCTGAGCGTTACAAACTGACGGATAAACACGCACACACTACACAAACACACACAAACACACACACAGCCATACAGACCCCAAGAGGCAAGCATGAACCTGCTCGTGTCAGATAGGACGATGCTTCTGACTCTGGTGCTGTCAATGATGATGATGCTTATGATTCATGTCTGTGCTAGAAGATCGGCACCATTCTAGATGGCGAACCAAGAAGAAGAATTAGTTTGTCCTAATAGTAGAGGTTTGACAACCTTCAATTAAAACCATCTTCCGCACCATATCACTCCGCTCTATTATTTGCATATAATAAAATACAGTAAAATAATAACAGAAATAATAATAGGAGTCGAACCGTTAAAAATACTCATAGGAATAGCTTTTTGTTTTGGATCGATACGACTCGATGGAGATGACGAGATTGGTTGCATGGTTGACTCTTGAAACTTGAGGCCCTCGGAAGGAACAATGGGCTATCGAACTTTACAGGCGGAATGGCGACAGAGCAAAAGGCATAGAAATCTCTTGAATTCCGTTAGTTGATCCCGTAATCAATGCATATTAGATCACCCCTTTAATAATATAATATATTATTCCGATTTACAAAATACAATCGCTTTGGGGCGTACTGCAACACACGGCCGAATGAAACTATTCGAGATACGTATTGTCCGCTCCTTTCAGAACAATCTAGATACAAAAAATGAATATAAAAATTAGACTGCATCCGAAATTTAGAAACAAGTCAGTATCGCCTCTCCAGATTGCAAGCCGTCCTCGTTGAACGACTGTCCTACTTTTCAACAAGAGTATACTTTGGAAGATGACAAGGCTTCCAACAGAAGAAATGCTGACGAAAAATGTTATTCGAAAATCCCACCTTCCTCGAGCCTTTTTGTTGAGAATTTGGAAAAATTTAGGCTACCTAATCAGTTCATTTGGACAGTTTGGACTTAATTTGGACAGCTAAGAAATATTCTTTGAAAATGTAGTTAAAGCGACAAGGCGATCGTCTCTTGAACTTTACCGTGTTAATCTCTCTGTATTTCGAATTTTATGTCCAGCATCGCCGTTAGGCACTTGCCGCCATGGTTTACATAAAGGAGTTGTCACACCAGAATTCAATCAGACTTCACTGTTGTTATAGGAATTGAGAGTCGTCATTTTGCATTACAGACTCATTGGCTAGTTGAACTTCACAGTACTTATAAAACCTTATTCATTAGTCATCGTTATTGTAAACAATATAAATCTTGTATAAATGTAACTAAAACAGAAACACTGTTTGAGATGCCGTTTGCTTTGCTTCATGCGTTCTCCTATACTCACACCAAAACTTCCGTTTCAGTTTTTGGACCAGACCCATTCTCGTTGCTGCGGCAGCTGTCGTTTCCAATTCTGGGTAATTGGACTCGAATCGGGTTTGGCACTGCACAAAACGTTTTATAAAACTCGCTAGTTGGGAGCGTTCAATTTGAAGATCCTAAATTCGATTTCCCTATTTTACTCTGTATTCTACGTAGCAGTCACTAAATCGTCCACTATCTCGTTCGTTTTGCAGCAATGACAAATTAATCAGTTATTCCATCAACAGTTATCACAAAGCAAACGTTCTCACAACGCACAATATTCACACTTCCATTTGTGTTACCGTTGATTTTTTTTACACACTAATGTTAATCCACGTTTTATCTAGTCAGTTTTGGCTAGAACGAGCCAACCAACATAAGTTCTTCGTATCAAACGGCCATTAATAACTTACGCATACTTGAAAGTTTCGAAAAGCGCAGTAATAAATACTGACTAATTAGACTAAATAAAGACTAATTAGTCAAAGAAGAACCGGCACACTAATGCATACGGACGCACAACGGTATCGTCTACTTTCTTGCCGGAAAAACGAAGACGGCAGTTTTGAAGATCCAAAGATGATATAGGTTCAGCACAAACCAATTTCATCAACTTTAAGGTTTTCGCTTCGTTCTATGGCCGCTGCTGCTGCCGTTGCTGTCGTCGTCGTCATCAACCCCATGTGCCTCAGGACGGTCCTCCCATCAGCGTTCGCTTCGGACCGTTTCTGCCTCTGGTGTCGCCGGCCTAGCTGCTCGACTCTACAGAAGAACGGTCCTTGTCCGCGCGGGGAAGACCCCCTTTCCACTCCAAAATTCGCGCTCCTCCTTGCCACCTATCGCGCTTACGTAACGTAATGTAGCCACACTACTGCAGACCATTACAGACCAACGCCAACGAGATGGTTCGCGCACACTGTAAAGATCCCATGTCTCTGTCTATTTATGGCGGTGCGATACCCTACGGTATGGTTCCGTGCGCTGCGGTCGCTCATGTCTATGTAATCGATTGATAGAAGTTGCAGAGCAAGTAAGTCGTATTAGCAGCAGAAGTCGTAGGCTTGTTAACGTTAACGCCGCTAAAGGCCACCACTCTCGTCTACGATGGTTGACGTTGTTGTTTATGGCATTGGCTGTAACCGCTTTTTCTGCGACGCTGCAGTGATCCTGGAGAAAGTTTGAGGAAAGCGAGAGATGCCCGCTGTTACCATGTTGATACTACTGTCGGCCAGCGGGATCAAAATCATTATCATCGTTGCCACGATCATCATCGATGGAGGCAGGTGCAGCCGCCGCTGGAGCCCGGGGAACCAGAGTAGTAATCAGCTGCGCCTGGCATCAGCAGCCGAACGAAGGAGCAAGCTTCGTCATCGTTCTCTTCGTTTGCAGTATCGACTTCTGTTGTCGTTTTTGCGGCAGTTGCCAGTCAAATGGAACTTCTTTTTGCCTCCACCAACTCACTGTGTTCACTTTGGCCAATGCTGCGATCGCTTGACGTCAACGGTGACATTGGCGCGAGAATCCGAAGTGCTCTAAGCATAGCTGCTACATGTATCAGACTTATCTATCGACAGCAGTCTTACTAGCGTGCTTGGCACCGATATTACGCGCTCAACTCTCAAGCCAAGAACCCCCAAGATCGTTGGATGGCGGACGGATAACGAGCACCACCAAAAATGGGCTAGTACCGATAATGCTGGCGTTGGGCCGGAGCCAGACCTGGAGCTAACCTTCAATACAATGACAAAGAGTCGGCCAACGGACTGTCTACATACTTCAAACGAGAAGTGCTCTTCGCTCGCACTCTCTGTTCCGTCTCAGCAGCGTCAACTGAATTAAAGGAATGGGGGCTGATAAAAACGAGTTAGTCATCCCACCGGTAGGCGTTAACTGGACGCCGACCGTCCAGCCCTACCGTCTTCTACTGGGCACCTGATCTATGACTACCACATCCGTACATGATTATGCACGCGTTCCAGTTTCATCGTTCCCCGATTCCATCGAAGCACAGCTGATGCTGCAGTACATAGCACTGACGCACGATAACAGTTAGTGCAATCTCCCTGATACATTGATTTTTTTTTATATGATAAGACCAAAAAAATTATGTTTTCTTTTTTCGACCGTTCAAATTACACTGCGTTCTCACATACAAAGAAGAGAAGTCAACTGATCCGCCTATACATTACAGTAGCGTATTAAATTCTGCATAATATACATACATTTTGTCCAATTGAACGGGGTTGATGCCAAGAAATGATATCTTACGGTAAATACGAAGCCTCGCAATGTTATAATGAGCTAGCTTAGATCGAATATTCCCAAAGATACGTTTCAACCTGTGCGCCATGTATGTTGCAGTAATATCAGGAACTTGAATATCAACACGGCTAATGTAAGTATATGGAAAAATAGTCTCGTCTGCTGACGAAACATGCCCAATGGAAATTTTTTTAGCGATTTCTGCAAACGTCGACTTAATGGATGTCTTAGACCAACGGTGCTAGAATTCTTTTCATCAGATATGTACTGATTACTGAGCTTTGCTAACGCTGTGCGAAGATGCTAAACGAGAAACTTTTGAGAACTCTCGTCTTCCACCGATCAAGGCGATAGCTTTCAATGCTGGAGACTTTGAAATGTTTTGCCGTTAGAAGACACTCATGTAAAAAGGACAAAAAAAAAAACACAACGTAGACTTCGTTTGACAAATCGATATGAGTGGATCAGCAATGGAAAAACTGCCATGAAAATATCTTCTTTCTATTTACTAAAGCTGAGTCATACTCTAACGCCGGTAATTTCCACATGAGCTGATATTTCGACAGTAAAAATGGCTCGAATAAACTACACGTTATCTATACGATATTTAACAATTTCTTTGAAAATAGGCCTATCCGGAAAAAATTAGTCAGCGAGACCAGACGTTCGTCGTACCCGACTAGATTGGTAGTACTAGTATTTTAGCGTTTGTTTTCATTAGATACATAAAAGGACTTAGATTCTAGAAGCAGTTAGTGTATGGACGTATTTTTGTTACTATCATCATTTAGTAGGCACCTGGATTGAATAGAGAGTCCTATTTAGGAATATTCAATAAACATAATCTATATTATCGTATATAGTACCAAGTAAATGTTTTGCCTTCTAAGGTCACTTAGTGAAATTAGAATTTTCACTTATGTTTCAGGTCATGGACGGTAGGTATTATAAATAACAGGTACCCCGTACATCTGTCATACCTAAGTGTTTGTTTCACTAAACTGAGCTGGGACATCTAATTTTGAGATCGTTATATCATTTCGATAGAACGATTTTAAAATACCCAATTTAAATAATTGTAATGAAAAAAAAATCCCAAGACAGGTATTAACATCTTATATTCCTCTTTTAGGGAAATGTGAATAGAAGACGTATACGTTTTTTGAACAGCGTTGCTAATAGTGTGATTCTAACGTAGTTGTCAATACAGGACACAGTACAACAAAGTGAAAATTATTTTAAAAATTTTATTTTAGATATTTTAAAAAAGAAAGCAAACTTCGATTTCGTCAGCTCAAATATCAGGAAAATAACAATGGCATTTTTTTTTTTAATCATATACATTAACATAAAGCTTTTTGAATGAACGAAGCCTCCCTGAAGTATATAATTGGTAACATCGTTATTAGACAGTAACGTTCTACAGACGTTGCTTACTGTCTTTTCGTTTGCAGGTTGTTACAAAAGAAACACGTAATTCAGATCGAGATGACTGCCATAATATCAGGTAATAGAGAGCGACTTGAAATGCCCTGAGTCCGATTTTAGGAAGAGAAATTCCCCAAGTAATTTCTCCACTGATAGATAATCTATTAAGCCATATGGCAATCTTTATAATAATGTCTTCTTTTCCTATGCTTTAAAGTATAAATTATAGCTTTTCTTCAAACTGAGATTTCAACCAGCGTAACGGCATACTCGCCTGGTCCGATTATCGACGTAGTTACGGAGATACGTACTGACCAGACTACGTTGTCCTTTATCTTGAGATGACAATATTGATTCTGTGACTACTATGGCTATAAAAAAAAAAAAAAGGTGTTTAAGAACCTGGATAAAAAGGCTTCCATTCGGCCTTGAAAACTCTTCGGACCCTGACTAAAAGCTATCATTAAATCTATTAACAGTTACGTTAAGTACGCACGTCGCTCGAGGGTAGATTTGTCTACGTATACGGAAAGTTTTACTTGAATATGTATATGTTCATTTATATGCAATTTAACAACAAGTTACATTTAAGTTGTCCCCATGCTTCGCCAATATTCATACGTAGTAAGTATATATTTCGTCGTCGTAGAAATACCCGATCTCCGACTACGGTTCGTTTTGAAGCTTGTAATCCCTATAGACGAAAACAGGGATCTGGAATACTATGCACTTTCTGGTATACGATTCTGTTCACGATTTATATATCTGGTACGATACGTTCTAGGCCAGGCAGGAAGGAGCTGATTCAGTCGAATGAAATTGATCGACATGTAGAATGAAATACCACCGTCACGATGCTTCTAATTCGGCCGTAAAATTCACGTCTGTTTGATAACGTGACACAACAACAGTCATAATACGCCACCACAGCGGTGATGATACGTATGCACACATCAGTCACGTATCTTATAGGTGTACACCGACTAGATCATCAGATCATTTCTAGAACACTAACGCCTTTATGTAAAACAAAAAAAGACTGGTTCGCTGTTCGGCCCCTTTTACATGAAAGTGAAATATATTTGACTAGCTCTAAGTGCTTTTGTTTTTGGCGTGTTCTATTTCTCTGCGCGACGCCGCTGTTCTTAAGTCGTACAGAAAATCCTGTAGACGCCGATTTCGGAAGGGTGTGAGTTCAATCGAAGGCCTATTGCTATTGTGGACCGCATTTGCTGGTGCAATTTCTAGAGACTTGGCACAAGTCCCAAAATGCCGGGACACTACGCTCGTTAATGACGTATTTATAAATGATGATTTAAATCCAGAAGTGCGGAAGCGAGAGGGAATATCAAATGAATGTTCGATCGTAATTAGATATGATCTTCCGACGCACCGATAGCTACGGATCGAGGAAAACTGGGGATCTGACATGATGATTCCTGTCCAGCACGAGCTGAAAAAAATCGAGAAGTCTTTGGACGCAAAACCGTTTCATAGAATGCTAACTATGTTTATTTACACAATCTCTGCCCTATGTATCCTGTACAATATGTACATGTCTATCAGGTAAAGCACAGGCCAGAGGTACTATTTTATCACCTTCTAAAGGTAAACCTAACGATATTTTTTCATCTGTACAGAATGCACCCCATAGTAGTTCCAAGTTTTTTGTAATACTCAGTACCACACTGGTGCTTATTGAAGGTTCTGAAAAACAAATAGTGTTCAGCGTATTATTACTAGTTTTATAACACGAAACCAGTCTGCACGCATGATGCTCTAAAATTTTCAGGCATGATGCATCCGAGTCGAGTATCCTCCCCACTCCGTAAATCGGGCACTTGCGTCCATCCATATATATGCGCTACGACACTTAAGACTGCCAGGCAGTTTATGCCGAGGACCAACAATAACTTCCTTCACTGTGAATATCCCGTCATATGTGTCGTGGTATTTTTCGTCATACTTAAGTCTAGCCAGACTGTGAAGTAACCTTCCCTCTGTTTTAGTTTCGTCCATTACCGTTAAGTAGAACGATGATTAGCTATTATAGCGTCGTATTTGTTCCCGGTAGACTTCCTCAAATTGTTTTTCCAAAGCCGATGTACTTGTCAGACGCGCGAGCGACGTTTCTGCCGCGCAAACTCCGTCAAATCTATTAACGACCCCGTTTGGTCTCAAATCATACACCTACTACTTAATATACCATTACAATTTAACGGTAGCTCGAAGTTGAAACGTCGATAAGAATAATATTCTCCAATTTCGCATTGTCAGTTGTACGGCGGCCATCTTTTTATTGGTTGATTGTGCTCCTCTGACGAATCGTTAAGCAATGTGGTCCATCGACTTTGTTTCGTTGATTAGGTAGACCTGCGGCTCGCAAGGCAAACAGTATTCTTCCAACGTGGGTTTTCCCTACTTCACTCTTGTTAGTTACCATGTGTATTGCTGGCCAATCGCACCCTTGCCTCTAAGCCACTATTGTGATACTTGTTAACAGACGATATTTTTGTTCGGCGTACATCTGGCCTTCGTTGAGTGGCTGCGCTGTCGCGAAAACAAAGGATAGGCACGGTATCCTCATTACGTTTACGCCAAGTGAAGGCCGGGGAATGCCCGGCCGAATAAAATTCGGAGCAGTATCAGTGGCAGCCGCTGCCACCGGCGTAGATCGCCCACTGTATATCGTTGCGCCGACTCAGTAGACGCTGGTGAGCAAAGGTCAACGGCAGAGATTGAAAGAGGGCATACCGACAGCTGTTAGTCATTGGTGATTCTTTTTTTTGAGCACCGGAAAAGATTCACGGACAGATCTTCGGGAGCCCGTCTGAAATGAATGCAAGTCGAATCCAAATAAGAAATTTGCTATGACTCAGCGAGCTATCAAGATTGCGTTTGTCTCTCTCAAACGATAACTGGGGATATAGTTAAAGTGATAGTGGATTCCTTATGTTATCCACGCCGGGGGATTTTCCAGGAAAATTATCTATCCAGTTGCGCCGATCGCAATTACTATTACTGTTTACTTTACATTCAAAAACTCGAAGATAAATGACGTAATTGTTAAGACGTTGCGCGTTGTGTTTCATTCAAGGCCCATAAGATTTATGCTTAAATTACGTTTGATAAACAGATCCGTTTGGCTGTAATTTTTCAGGCATTCTAGATTATATAATGAAATTGATCGTAAAAAAACAGTACTGCCCGGACAGTTCCGGGTGGAAGCTCTAACTACAGACACGTCGATAGTGGCTAAGATAAACAAGATCTACAAATACTTGTGCATAGATAGTGATGACACGTAGGGCATACTTCCGGAACTACTAAAAATCATAGCATTTTCATGTCACGCGCTTTCATACAGATGATTTATTGTAATCTCGAAACGAGTTAGGTATAAAATCTGTTTGACGACTCGTGAGGGTACAGTGTCGTCTAGGAAAAACTGTGTGAATAGATAAAGTTATATAATTAACGGTGAATATTCAACTTAGTCACTGTTATTAGAAATGTTTTTAGCTGTCAGAAAAGAGCAGATGCTTCCGGGACCATCTAAAGTTGGAACAGCTACTTCGATTAAGTTTCAATAGCAGCTTGTGTATGGATTCTGTGTGCTTACGTGTTGCGAAGGAAGCCTATTTCCATTTAATTTTACAAGTAAATTTGTTTATCGTTTTTTTTTTTGCCCAACCCGACAGGTAATGAACGCTAACCGGGTATTTTGTCATTTCACAATAATTAATAGTGACGTTGCGGCCTATGTAGTGTTCGATTATAATGAAGTCTAGAGACCTCCAATTTTTCAAAATATACAATTTAAGGCCGACTGCATAATCTAAATCATACACACCTTAAAATCCGGATGGAATAGTGCTGGTGTTGTTCCTTCTATATCCAACCTATCAGTGCAGACGTATCGCTATATAGGTGAGTATAATTGAGATGCTGATATGATTGCAAGTCATGCCAACTGAATGAATAAGGAGATATAAGTGATTTTTATTGCTCCTTAGAATATTAGAGATAATTTTCTGTTAAAGTTTCTGTATTGTTCAAATGAATATGAGACCGGCTTATTTTGAATTCCTGTCGTATCCCCTGATATTCAGTAAAAACGTTCCTCGTTAGAAGAAAAATTGATACTACGATTTGCAGGGTTCGCTTCCGTGAAGCGTTTAATGCTCGGCAATTCAGGTATCTGCTGTGGCACGGGGGCAATTACCTGATCTCGGCAATAACGAATGTTTCGACGCCACCTTCTCCAAGTTATTATATATTTTCGATGTATTTATTCGCTTTATTATTAACTATATTACTTTATTGGCTCCGACTAGCTGACCCCGAAAGCCTTCACTTTCTGGCAAACTAAGAGTCAATAACTGCAAGTGAATACAACGAAAAGTGTGAAAAGTTAATTAGCGCTAAAGTACCTTAATCTTTGCGCGGTGCCAAATTGCTACTGTGTAATTGTTCTTATATAGGTAAAAAGCAGACGTTTTAGCTTAAATCCTATTCGATTTTAAAATCTAACTAAATTATACTGTACTGTTCTGTTAACTTACATTAACTACATTGTTTGTTAAAATCAAAAATTGTCAAATCAAAACCAACCTACTTTGCCTGTTCTAGGTATAAGTACGTCTAGTGGAACACCTAACGGTGGTACCGCATGTAGAACACAAGACAAATCCATATTTAGCGCAGCGAGCAAACTTTAGGTTCCACTCGGAAAATTTGTTTTGCACACTAAGATTTTCTAGCGATTCTTAAATTTTGTCTTCGGCGTCCCAGTTTTATCTTCGCCACAAGTTGTTATTGTTATTATTTTCTATATGAGCCAATGAGCAGTGTTTGTACATATAAGAACACGCTGCTCTATGAGATTAATCGAGAAAATTGGTGTTTTTTATTGTTCTATTTACCATTGACGATATGTCAAAGTAAACGCATCCGAAAGACGTTGCGGTTAAAAACAAAAGCGGATGATTCATTTGTTCCTGACCGGTCTGATAGCTCATCTGACATTAAAACAAAATCACCCAGCGTCCCATTTAAAATGCCTACACCATCAAAAGTGTACGACAAAGAATAAAAAGAAGATGATGCATTCTCTAATTGGGAGGGAGGGTATAAAGTAAATTTTTGTGTTTGTATACATGTTTTTTTCAGTAAGCGTCTGCTGCTCCGTTTCGCAACATTGACTTAGCATGACCTTTGGAACTTGAGCGTGACATTTTGCAGGGTCCGGAGTAGTTGAGGGAGCCTATGTGGGATATTCTACCCTTTGACAACTTTTATGCTAGGCAATGGTCGATTAGTAAAATTTTGTTAGGTACCCATTGTCTTATGTTGTTAGCTCTAATCTCAGCTGTGTGCTGTTGTTGTTGTTATAGTATTTCGTGCGGCTCAATCGTTGGAAGCCATGCCGGACTATATATGAATTCCGATAGCATCGAAATAAGCATTTTTTTTTGCCTGCTCTACCGATCATAGATTAGGCGTCTAACGGGTCAGTTGAATAAAAGCTCTACAGGTCCACAAGTTCCGTCATAACACCGGCCCGAGAATGGCGAGATTCAACAATTCCGTAACAGCATTCGTAATTTATTCTTGTTTGGTGATTTTAGCATTTTTCAAATCAATATATTCAATATATATATTTGTCCATTGTCGAAAGGCTGCAGGCAGACTTTTCTCGAACATTTCCTGATGCAAAAGGCAGTTGTCCGATGCATCGTGGCCGCCCTGATACCGAGCACCTCGTTGACGCGTATAAAAACTACTCTCTGAATCCTGCATCTTATTACTGCTTCAATGGAACGTGCAATAACCTGCAACACAAACAGTGGGGAGCCGTCGTTACGTGCTACAAACGTATGTTGCGGGCCTACTACGAAGATAAGCGATCGGAGCCGGTGCGCAGGGGACCCAATCCAGCTGACTTCTGCTTGAAATTTCGATCCTTGACTCGCAATACGACGACAACAAAGCTGACTCATCTCTTCATTTCATTTGGACAATATTACAACAACAAGCGCGGAGTAGGTTAGGGGTAGATATTGTGTTCAGAAGTTACCTGAATGTAAAATGACGACCGACGTGTCAAATGATCCGGTCTTGCTGGAAAGGAATGCAACATGTATAAATTACGTCCGCTTGGCAGTGTGCCCTTGTGAGTCAGATGGACCACGGAGACATATGAACAGTCTGACAGCTTACCTCGATCTCTCCTTGCCTTATGGAAGCGCGAAAAAGGAACTAGATCGTCTTCGAGATTAGCGTCTACCACATCTGACACACATATCCAAAGGCAACAGCCTGCCATTACGAGAAGACCATGATTGTATTAGCGAACAGTGTTTTCTTGCAGGGGACCTTCGTGTGACTGTCGTTCCCATGTTACATACGGTATGGGCTCGATATCACAACCATCTTCCGCAAAATATCAAACAAGTTTACAAAAACTGGACGTCAGCAATGTTTTTCTTCGAAGCGCGTAAGATTGCGATCGTTCAATTTCAGATAATCACGTACAATGTGTATATACCTCTGCCGATCGGTCCTAAGACGATGCAACACCATCGAATTAATCACCTCAATGCCGAGTATAACAATAATCTCGAGGATGAAGTATATACCGAGTTCTCAGCAGCCGCATTTCGGCGAGTACCTGACGATGTAACGGGAATTCCTATCGTTTTCTACAATAACCAGTACTTCTTCGATAAAAACTATACAGGTTTCACAGGTGAGATTAAAAGAAGCAATGGCAACCGCGGCAGGTTGAAAATCCCTGTATCCAACGTCTGAAACCTCATCTCATCGTATTTATGATCGAGGGTTTCATATGATATTCAACAACGTAGGGACCATGGTTTAGCATCGTATATCGCCTACGTAGAATTAGCTACTGGAGTGGAAATTACTTCCTTTGAAGATCTGGCCACAAATGACAAAAGAAAGCGCAATGTTACTACAGGGCATTTATCACGACGTTTCATTAGTTGATCTCTATGTTCGCCAGATGATTCCGAAAAACTTTTAGCCATATTATTGCCATCCAGTTCATGGAGCTATCCAAAGGAGATCGGTGCTTTGGTAGAAATGCTGGCTTCACCCCCTGGACAATGGGAAAAACTTGTTAGAGAGGCATCACTCGGAAGGATTTTGTGTCTAGCAACGGGCAGACCGTTTCAAAAATATCCGTTTCTCATGGATTCCGTCCTAGAGAATTGTACGATATGCCAAATCGACTTTAATTTTTGGACTTGAATGATACGTGAAAAAAACAGTAGTGAACATAACGCAACGTTTTCTCGTTAACGTTTACTGCTGATTCTAACCAGATACTGAGTAAATAATATTCTGTCTGTTATTAACTAGATTATCTAAGTGCTTCTTACACTGTGATAACAAAGAAACGTTTAAATTCTCTGCTCGATCCATGTTTTCCATAAGACGGTCCCACATTCTTGTTCAATTCGAAGAGTTTATTATTTTCTCTTACTAATATTTAATTATGTTGTTTTCTAAGTACAACTGAGCTAGTTTGGCGCATAATGGTAAAGTGTAACATCTTCAATTGATTGTTGTATGAAGAATTGTATAAAGTCAGTATCGTCGTTTATCCTTTCAGTGAAGAGAATATAAAGCAAACATTTAACGAATTGACGTCGTCTGCTGAACTTATAGATGAAGAAAGCTCTACTTCTAATTGTGTACCACTTTTTGCTATAACTGTAAATTTATATCGTAATTTGCTGAAGACCTCACTTTGCCCCTCTTACCACTATACCAGTATGTCTTGTATAACTAATTTCTGATTGAATAGCAGTTATAATAAATTTATTATTACAAATTGTTACCAGGTGCTAATTTTTTTCTTCCATCAAGGCCTGGGAAAATTGTCCTTATGCTATAATATATGTAAGCTAAGTTCACTTCCTTAAGGGTCCTCTGCTTGAAGATAACTTTTGTTGTTGCCCCAAGATGAGCAGAGCTTTACATCTGACGCTAAACATTATCTTCCCGTTATTCACCCTTCAATAAGTATTGTGCATATACCAAACGCAAACGTTATTGAGTCAGATGTATAATTGCTGATGAAGATTTTTAAAACGTCATAGAAAAGACGCATTGAAAAGTATGACATCAACCTCAATAGGTAGATGGACAAAGGATTTATCTTATTCGGGCAAAAGTCAAATCTCCCATATGGTTTCAGTCTTGATAATTCCATTATTGTTGGCTGATACAGATTTGTAAAGCTAGGCATGTATGTTCACTGAGTTTGATTATATTGATACTCCACTACTGGTATTATAATGGACCCCTTGGATTTTTGCTAACGCGGCGATTTTAAGGGGTATGTAACTACCTTAGTGGATCGTTTACTCAGGAAATAGCAGGAAGTTTATGTAACCATAGATACGTCAGAAAAGCTAAAACACGATTCAAATATATTTTCTACTATATCTCTACAGAATCGTTAGCTTTCAGCGGGCCAGATCGCTTATTAGTGATGGGGTTAGGTCGTTTAAGGTGGGTGCGATAAGGTAATTTGCTCATCATTTTTTTATGGCCGTTGGAAAATATTAAAGCTAATTTCATTATATCTGATTGCTATGTCAGTGTCACGCTAGGTCAAATTGGTTTAGAGCACGTTGGCCTTAAACAGTGGAATGTTTTACCTATGGAGCTCCATACAAATACTCGAAATCGTGCTTCGCTTTGTTAATACTAGAGAAGGTAAAATTACTTTACGAGAAAGATAGATCATGTTCGTAAGGCATATCAAAGACGTCTATAATATTTTTATTACAATTGAGCTATGCTATCAAATTTGAGTACTATTCGCTAAAACTACTTCTATGAATTTTTGAAAATATAAGGAGGTCTTAAAAGACAGACGACGCAACTTCCAAAAATTCCAATTTTATTTTTTAAAGACATTTTTTTTTTTAGCTGAAGTTACAAAAGCTGCTTGCTGTTTGTTGAAAATTACTGTCGAAATTTAAGGTTTTGTGAAACCAATCAAAGGCGGATAGAAATTTGGTCTACTGATAAAATGTCTTACTATATAAAATGATAATCCTAGTATAGAATAAGCAGACAAACGAGAAGGACCATTTTTTAAAATTAAAATTTTAAAGATTAATATGTGATACAGCAGCACTTGAAAAGCCGCTGTGGGGTTTACTGACAATAATGATCTGGCCTTTTTTGATACTAAATTTTTTTCCCATTATACGACAATATTTTATACAGTTTTTCACTATAACCTGATTATAATAGGACTTCACCTTTGGCTCAAGATCACAGTAATATTAGACATAAATAGCAACTACATATAGTTAAGAAAGGCGACGGTCTGCCGATGAAGCCGTGGCCGTTTCGACATCGCCGCGTGGCAGTAGACTTAGCCCAAAGTAGTATCGTGATACAATGAACTTGACCATCCGTGCGCTGCTTTTTAGAGAAGGTCTTATCAACTTATCAAGTGTTGACAAGAGTAATGGATGTCCAGCCAAGGGCAACCAGACCACTGCTTGACAAGCAAATTTGATGTAAAAATAGTCGCAGCAGCTGTGCTATATTCGAAAGATATGACAGCGGAAACATTGTAAATCAAGATATCTGTAATGAATAGCGTAATAGCTCTGCTAGATGCTGGCGGCAAGAACGCCCGAAACATCTCACCGCGGTTAAAATAGTGGTTTCGATACGGGTGTGGGATGGTGGCTAACGAAGAGCGAATCGCTTCCGACAAACCACCATCAAGGCGCGCGTCTTTTCAACGATTATGTTATACTTAATTGACAATTTGGGTATTTCGGAAAGAAGAATATTGATTTAAATTTTCAGGTTAATGAAATTTTTTTTACGAAGCGTAAAAGCTGTTTTGCGAACAGATTAAGTAAAGCAAACTTTGATCATCGCTCGTACGCTTTGACACATCGCCTGAATCGAGTGCTACTTAATTTAGTAATTGACGAACACAGCTTTAGGGACGGTTTGACGTTTAGAGAAATGTCTATTTTAGCTTTTTATAGTGTCATTATAGATTGAACAAGCTTTTTAGTTGATGCTACCTTTTTTTTTATACTTATACTACCAGTAGTCAGGTGATATATCCTTTTGTTTCGTTAACAATCAGCGGTTACGTGTTCCGCTCTGCCGAGCTTAGCAAACAAAGCGAACGTTTGATATAATAAAAATCTGTCATAATACGATGCATGTTTTATGGATGGGTAAAAAGGCTAAAATAATAGCGCTGAAAAATAGGCTGAAAAATAGTCGAACATAATACTATCTACACATTAATTTTATATAGTTTCATCATAATAAATAAATAAATGGCTATAATAAATAGATAAATAAATTTTTTAGGTATTTATAGCATAAGATTGGATCGGTAAACGCTGGACGTACAGAAATTCCCAAAGCAAAGTGGACGTTTAACGAACGAATTTAGAATAGAACAATGTCAACGTACCACTCGTATGCCTAACTGTATATATAATATATTAGTTGTTTTTTTATCTCCTGCTCATCCATCATTAGGCTGTTACAAAGGAACGCAACAGACTTTGGAAGTTGAATACCGTTTGAATTAGGCGCCACAACGGACGAAACTCCGCTTGTAAATACTCCAGCCTTCTAAATAGCTGCGAACGAAAACCGACCAAGTTTACTACAGGAGAAATGGGTTCAGGCGGAAAAACGTCTTTTAGTATCGAAAACGCTGCGGAAATTCATCAAATATTGGCGCGAAGATAATCAGACGTCAGGACCCTAAAAACAAGAATGTACTGCCGCAACTGCAAGGGCTTTTCACGAGTACAAGGTTTGGAGGGTAAGACACAAAACTAACATTTCGAATATTTCGTGTTACGGAATTATGACCTAAATACTAAAAATGGAAAAATAGAAAAAAAAATCGTTTCTCATCAATTAATGCTAGGCCAGTGGAAAACGCGTGTGGAGTATTCCACGCATAATTTGAGGTATTTCAGTAAACAAAAAAAAACCAACCTTAGGCCCTCGGCCACCATACACGAGGTGTAGGTCATTCTTTTACGCCATACGAAGAAGGACCAGGCGAAAGAATGAGAAAAGTCGAGTTCGTCGAGTAGGTGTAGACGTAAAGTCATGTACTTGCAATGAACATTAAAGGCATCTTCTACTAAGAAATATCCACTGACAATGAAAAGAATGAATACAGCCGACTTATGTGGGTTTTTAAGAGACTTAAGCACCGCTGGCATGGCAGTTGAAAGCCTGCTGGCTAGTAACTTGGTGAGAACCCCAGACCTCATAGTCTTGCCTCGATTATTTCCTAGATTGAACAAAAGGACATCAAATGTTGGCTTAAACTTGGTTATTCTATCGACCTAAATCGGTATAGTTACGAAGCACTTTTTTTAATTTACTTTTTCTTTATCTATCTTTTTATTTACTGCGAGAAGCCATAGGTGAAGAAATTAGATATGGGAACAGCCGTTCAGAGACTGCCAAAGCACCAGGACAAGTGTGCGGTAAACAAAGTACTTGTAACACATTAAAACCAGCATTCTAACCCAACTAGTTTGAAAGCTATTCAATGTTAAAGTTCGCCCTGCAACAGCTATATATATATATATATATATATATATATGTAGTGAGGTAACAGTAAAATTTTGATTTGTCGTCAGGTCAGCAGCACGAGTCAATGGCCGTTTCATTCCCATTTTTGCGAAATTAACTCATGTCATATACATATATATATACAAATAATGAGGGTAATGGCTTGAAATGATAAGATATATTTCGGATGTTGCTACGGCATGCTGATAATCTGAACAATTTTTTTGTTGTTGCTTTCCAGTTACAGCTGGCCTTTAACAGTAACCGTAGATCTACTGTGTTCTTTCGTTTTATATCTATAACAAATTGGGAAAGCTGCATAAGGGTGCTCAATAATTCGACGTAAACATCGTTTCAACAAACAAAACAATATATGCTGTTATTTATTTTATCGCGTGCGTCTTCTATACGAATGTTTATCCCAGTTGAGCCCTGATGTTTTAGTGAATCGATATTTACGAAGGTTCTTGGACTCTTCTTAGATATATACTTATATATATATATATATATATATATCCTTGAATATATAAGATATATCCTTGAATTAAGTAACCAAGGATAGAACGTGGAACCTGGCGGAAAATATTCGCCATATATAATACTTCGATTAAAACAAAGTCGAAAAAACACAGTGATGAATAAACCGTGGAAATTACGTGCCAGTGAAAACTTCACATACAAATTTCAATAACTATTACATTGATTTCACTTTGAGAACTGACAGAGATGCATTTCAATGGTTTCAAAATGGACTGTGGCATAGTTATTGAGGAGATAGTATAGGTAACATAGGTATTGAAGAAATGTATTCTATTCAAATAAAATAGGTTCTAAGCCAGTAAATTATAGACCAATGTCGACACTATATATATATATATATATATATATATATATATATATATAGTATCCGTCACTGCGTCACCAACTGCCGTTCAACGAGTCAATCTGTATCTGTCAAAATCTTACAGTTTGCTAATGTATTGTTACCAAAACCAGTTTTGAAATTTCCCAATATTCCAGCCGTGGACTAACGCTACCAATCAACGCCAACTAAAAAGACACAAATGCTAGATCGTTCCAACGCTTTCTGTCATTGACAAAGCGAGTGATGCGCGTTTCTAAGCTCTTCTTACACGTTTTGCAATTTATTCTCGTATTGACGATGGACGCATGTTCCAACTCTAGTTTAAGCAGCAGATGTGGTCGTGTCAACGGTTGACAAAACAATAACCACCGAAACCTATCTATCTAATTGTTATTTTATGAAGCAGGAGACATGGACCAAAATAAGCATGTAGATTTGACGGACGCTGAATCGTATTACAGAACATCTTTCAAATGATCGTATATCGATGGTCTTCACCACATTCGATCGCAGTTTCTGGAAACTATAAATTTATTATCGTTATTAATTAATATTTATGATAGCTGCTAATCTTTGGTGTTTGTGATTGGCTTATATCTGTTTTTCTCAGCGGCACGGTATAATTTGTCGCAATTCTAGAAGAACAAATTTTTTTACAACAAATTTTATAAGAACAGACAATAAGATGTGTTTTTTTTAAGATTTTATCACATATGTAGTGAAGCATACGTTAATAAGTGAAACTTGCGCTAGCGACTCCCGCCACCTAAACATATTTAGCAGCATAAATCAACCAATATGGACGAAAGTGATCCATATGTGCTTATCAATTCCTCGAGGTATCAGGCGTTAGGAGTAAGTAAGCAATATCAAAAGCTCCAGCTGACGAACGACCAGTGCAGACGAGCCGATGGAGAGGAAAACGGGCTTACCGTAAAGAAAATAGGAGATGTAATGGTAGGATTTTTCTGTTTCTCGAGCCATTTCTACTGGTAACTGGCTTCGCTTGCGTTCTTCAATCAGTGCTGGTGCATCCGCGTTGTTTGAAGATGTCCGACTAGATCGATCGACCCGAGTTAGCCAATCGCTCAGCCAAGTTATAGTCATTGCGGACCTAAGCGAGACTTCGATGGTTCAGTCAACCGTGGTAGTAGCTGCAAATAATCGTACTGCTACGGAACGGGCCTGTAGAGCTATGAGGTTATGGTTACCACAGCCAGCGTAGTTTCGGCCACGGTGCTTCTACTTGTTTGCTTGTAAAATCTCTCTCTTTTTCTATCGTTCTCTCCCTTATCTGTCTATGGTTTTCTTCTTCTTCTTCTTCATTTTTTTTTATATTATTCTTCCGTTTCATTTCTACGCGCTGACTGCACATGTACGTATGATTTTAGAAGGTAATTCAGGACAGGTAAGTTCATAGAGACGTCCTTCGTCCTATGCGCGTACTTGTAGTGCGTGGCGATCGTCATAGTTGCATATACATATATACGTCGCATAGTTCAAGTAATAGCAGCAGCAGCAGCAGCAGAAGAAGGAACAGTAGTAGAGCTTGTGGTAGACTAGACATCTTTATTTAATTTCGTCCGCGATCTGTTGAAGCCTGTCGTGACAGAGGGGCGGACCATATAGAACTGTTGTACAGCTATCAGAGCGACGGGGGTGGCTGACTGTAGTGACCATCATCATCGACGACGACGACTGCGGTAATGGTGAATTTTGTGATGTTCGGACAAGAATAGCCCCGAGATATGCTATAATATAGGGGTCTGATCACTTTCAAACAGCTATGATATATGAATATTCTTCGAAAAGATAGAGGTTAACGGATAGACGAAATTCTCGTATGTTGCTCACGTGATTTTCTATTGATCAGGTGCTAAGCGTTTTGAACTCTTCTGCGCAATGTGATTGTTATCAAACGTATAGCAATCTCACCGCCATTTCAATCTTCTAATATATCTAGAACGACTATTCGAATGCACATGTTCAGCGCTGCGGAGCCTTTATCCAGCTGCAATGAACAAGGCACAGGTAAATAAAATACTTAGTATTGCTTCGTACACTTATTTTTGCACGTTTTCTTTGAAAATAGTTTATTCCTTATATCTACTGGTTGCTTTAGGCCACGTCCACATCTGCCTCATGTTGTACAAATTCAGTATTTTTTTCTTTGATTAATTCTCGACCCTACATGTATGCATTTTTTTCACACGGATTTGTTGATCGACTCTAATAAAATTCGATATGTCAAATGAACTTTTCAACTTCGCGTTCGACATATGTGATGTAGCACGTGTTATAAAGCGAACGGAGGAAGTTGAAATATTAGAGCTTAAAGAGGTAATAACAAGCAAAGATGACACCAGATTGTTTATCAGACCGATTTGCGATTGTGAACTGTTTCTCGTAGCCCATTCTAATGCTTCGGCAGACCTGCTTAACCCATTTACTTGTAGCGCACAACCCGTTAGATAGACCGCTATTTCTTATCAGTATAATTGGTATTCCGAAAGTAGCCAGCATTACAGCGCTAAAAAATAGTATTAAGCTGGATTAGCTATCTATTAACTACGTGCAGTACATAATACCTATACATGTAAGCCGGATCTTCGTGATCAGATGATTTAGTACAGCGTAGGGCTTCACTGACTTTTGAAAAGCGTCATCAATCGCTCACAGCTATTGGCGCCTGTTGTTTACTGATACGCTTTCTGTCTGTCTATAGCCTTTGCCTAAAAGAGGATACGGGACAAGAGGTAAACTAATATAATGTTCGTCCAATTGAATAACAATTGGCAACCAGCCCTCGGTATGGTGTACGCTGTCAGTGGGGCTTACACGATTGACTCGATGTAATTTAGTATAGGTAACGAGATTACCTTGTTCTTGACACCTGGAAATCGGTTAATTTCAAGCCATTGTTATTATCATTTGTGTTAGTTTGATACACTGGAAACGATGTCTATGCGCGAATTCAAACTAGGCGAACTTCATCTCATTGAAAATTAGAGTAGCACGTTATTGCTGAAGGTATCACGGCACGCGAAGTGTATACGGTTACGATTATAGAATATACGGGCCCAGTTTCATGTGCCTGTGTGAAAAAGTGTGCCTGGTAGATATGGTCAAGTCAAATCAGCGAATTTGACTGTTCAATCGTAATTCTCATCTCTATAACAATACTGCACCATCGGCGGAACTACCCAAAAACATCTTTTTGATCGAACAATGCCTGCCAGCCAGCCAGATAAACTTTGCTGACAATGGATCAAATCAGCAGTAACAAAAGATCTCCCCCGCGCGTCGTTTGCTATTCGGCCTAACAGAAAATCGTTGGAGAAGCGACCGACAAAGTACGACAAACGTCTTCGGCGTCTTTGCTGCTGTGGCAACAACAGACAGTGCAGTCGCAGACGGTACGTCCGTTTGACGTGTTACAATCGCCTTGCCACAATCACGTTACAACGATCTGCGATCTTCGAATTGCCGACGCTGACGCGGACAAGTCGCACTCGGCCCTTGTCATTCACTCACTCGTTATGGTTCATTTTCGGTTGCAGGACAGCGGGTGAAGGAATCCCGCTAAAGGACAAAACGAAACTGCTAGCGGAGGCGAACTGTCGACGTTGACGACTCCCCCGCACCATCGGCATGTGTTACAGAGCACGTTACTTACTATCACTACTGCCTCCCTATTCTCAGCCTTTTTTCCGTTGATCCGTTCAGCAACCTGTTGTGAGGACATGCCGGCGGCATCTTGAAAGGCAGAGAGACCGGATCACCTTGCTACTAATGGCACTAAACTACTTACCATAGGTTCAGCTATAGTTAGTTAAAGTAGATACAAACTATAGATTCCTGCAACTGTTATTCGATATGTACGACTTTCTTATTCTCCTAGAAGTGAAATTATTTTTAGCACCCGAAAGGAGACGCAGCAATAGATACCACAAACGGCTATAACATCTTTAGGGTTCTTAAGGCATTGATCGACATGGCGAGACACTCTATATATCTCTGCTTCGATATAACTATGTTCAGACGGTGTGCTCATCTGTACATACTGCGCAACCGGTTACAACCGTAAACGATAAACAAGAAATAGTATTAGACGTACAAACACATGCATATATACTTAGACAAAAAGAGGCAGTTTTGTTGGATTAGAGAGTAAGGTATATTGAAGCCCGAACAGCGACGACATCTCGAAGGAGTAACTGTCCCAATGAAGAGGGTAACAGCCGACACAAGCGGAAAAGACCGATAAAAAAAGGTGGAGTGACAGTTGGATTCTGAGGACGTCGCAGCAAACCTTTTGTAGTATCCTAAAGTAGGAGCTCAGGTCTGATTGACCCGGGGGGAAGGGGGTGGGGTAAGGAATAAACCTGTTCATCTGACCACTCTGGAGGGACTGGCGGGGTCTCTGTACTACGTAACAATAATAATGACTGCGAGCGGACGTTATCCGTAGACGAGCCAGCCTCCTCCGGATGCGGAGAGAAGGAACTAACGACAAGCGGACCAGGCCATGATTTGAGGTTGCATCAAATCAGAGTGATTTACTTACAATAGCCGACGACTATGACGACAACCACGATGACTAGTAGACGAAGGCGAATGAATAATAAATCAAAGGAGGAGAAGAGAAACATGCCCCTGCCATCGTGTCCGACAAACGAAGCGCGTTCTGTTTACACGTGCTCCCTTATACGCACGAGCTGACGTAGCCTCAACATCACAGGGCACCGCACCTCAGCTCAGCTCGCGCTCAATACGTCGCTCAACGTCGTCTAGCATGAAGCAGGCAAGAGAGAAAAATGATGATTGAAGAAACACAATTACTTCACACTTCTGCACACACAGTCATCATAGAATGAACGGAATAAGAGAGAGAAATTTACACATGAACAGCTACGTCAGCCATGATTCAATGCACCGTATTGACATGTACATAAACATTGTCTATTCGCACGACATCGTACGTATAAATACATGCGAAGACTGGCCAGCAGGTCGCTTCGGTCGTGTTACAAGTTCAACCACTGTCAACGTTAGGAAGGCCGTTTTCGCCCCTTTTTGTCGTAACGGAGAAAGATTGCAGAGGCTAAATCGATCAATCCCTGTAATGGACAGTGAAAGAGACTCGCGCAGAAATGAAAATTAACAGAACGAATGAGTAATAGCATTAAACTTGGCTAAAACTAGATAATGTGTTCCGTCCATTTCTAGCTTCTATACAAAAAGAATTGGAACCACAAAACAAACGGACTTGAAGGCTGATATTGATTCTGTAAGCAATTTATAAATGTTCATGTTCTGTGGCGAATTATTATTATTATTGATATATTATTAATAATCTCACAACGGCAATTAAGCTAATTTTTTTTTCTGTATATCTTACAAAAAAGTACAAATACAAAAGTGTGCTTCCGTCCACATATTTCAACTAAGTAGTCTACTGTACATCAAGGCACATTTTATATACTCCCTCTATATTCAAGTAATTTATTGTTTTTGTGCTTCAGGTGACAAAACGTACACGTACAGCTCATTAGAGCTGATTTTTTTGTGTGACGCACAGGCGTTTGTTTAGTCAAGCACAATTTTTTTGGCCGATTCCCCACATCGATGTTTGTACGTTTCGAAGAGATCAATCAGTTGCTCAATATATTTCGTATGCAATTCGTCCACTTGTTCCTGCGTTGGATTTGCTACCCGATCGACGTGGATTGGAGATCCAACTGAAATAGAAAAAAAACTTTTCGTTTAATCCCTATTTGACAATTTAGTATTTTCATGTAGTGAGAATGGTTCTGTCAGAACTACCTGAGTCAACTGATTTTTGGACAGTTCTAGCAGAGAGCAGGATTCAAAATAGGCTTCCAACTTGCAGCTGTGCAAATATTCATAAAAAGCCTATTAATTATTCATCTATGGATTTACCTTACGCATACACATACGAAGAAACTATGTCCGTGACACATGCCGTAATAGAATATGGCACAAATACACAGTAATTTTACAATACCTACCGACTGTGGTGATGGGCGCTCGGAAAGGTACGTAACCCCACGTGTATTGAAAAACGCCTCTTCCATGAAAAATTGCAGGTGATATCCCAAAAAGCTTCTTAAAGCGTTCCTGGAAGGCTCGAAGTTTTGATCCTGGCGGGTTTTCAACTTGGTAAAAAATATCATTCTCTCCAAAGGAAAATACTGGAACCAGATCGGCCCTGCAGAAACAAATTTTTAAAGTAAAGTAACCTAGTGAATGTGTTGCTATCTCCTGTTGACAGGTGCCACAAATCTGAATACTGGCTCACGAATACCGCTCAGATCCATGGTATCGCACCTTACGTCTCCTGTATTATATATTTCAAAGCTAAGACGCTTATCTCCAGCAGCTCACATGGGCCGGTTGTTGTGACCGTAGTTACGTGACACGTATAAAGGCACTATATCGTTATCTCATTTAGGTACTACATAGTTACGTGACCGAAGACAAACAATCGTTGACTATGCCCGATTGACAAATTTAGCCCTAGTTACCTGCACGACAACAAAATGTGACAGCGTTAGAATCGTACAGATGAAGCCGTTACGGTTAAATGTTAATCTCTACAGATTGAGCTGAAAAGGAAAAGAATAATCTAAATCGAATTCGGTCCGAAGAAAAAAAAGAGCCGGATCTGACTGTCGCGAAGGTAACCGACGAATACAAATGGGTATCCGGTGTCCACAGTGATTCAGCCATATGCTAACAATTGATATTGGTGTATATTATTTGCTGGTATAGAGCAGGAAAAATACGAAGTCTTAGATAATTAACCACAAACTCAAGGAATTTGAAAAAAAAACTTCATAAGAATTAAAAGAAAAACATTTTTGAAGCATTGAGTTCAAGCAAGTGTTACATCCGCTTCTATCTGTTGATAATCGTACTCTAGCTAGATGTCTTTTAGCTCTATGAAAGGCGAGCCGTTCTCACCCATTCTCCAGTGCCACTCTGGCAAATCCCTTTCGGTGTGCTAGGGTCAAATGATAATCGCTTCCACGGTGAGCGTCGAGAACCTCTTGAGCTCCACCGATAACAATTACAGCGGCGTTTCCTTTGCCCCTATTGTTTAGAATCCATTCAAGTGATTTCTTTGAAACACAACACATACCGTAGAGGAGAGGTAGCTCGCGATAAAACGGAAATAGGAAGTTCATACGTAGTGTGAGCGTATATGGTACAATTCCTGCAAACATATATGGAAAATAACACCAAGCTCGGATGAGGGTAACGGCAAACGATCAAAACTCTATCTTTCTTATTAATCACGATCATCGAATTTTATTGCCATCAAACATTGTGCTCGTTTCATGTATGACGCATATTAAATAAAATTAAACTAGCAATTAAGCCAATCAACTTAACTAGTTGAATCCAATACGACATCACCTAACTACGACTACTGCTGCGCAAAACACTGAAAATTCATTTATTAAATCACAGTTTCTGAAATCTCTGTCGCATTTATCTAAAATAGATATTCCTTATTATTTAGTTACCACTTACCCGGAAATGTTTCACTAAACCTTGTTGCTTCAGTAGCGAAGTTTACAATAGCACCCGAACCTATGATTCCGTGTGGATGATATCCTATAATGTAATTTCTATCAGCTGGCAATTCAGCGGTTTTAATTAATCGAACGGGATAGTAGTCCCTCATGTATTTCCAAAGGCGGAGCTTCCTCAGCCAAATTGCGCGTCTTCCCCCTCGTTCACAAATGTCCAGATCGTAGATGTACCACGCCAAGTAAATAAGAGGTATCCAATAGTAGGAGGTAAAGGAGATTAAGTAAAAGCTGAGGATGCAGCCACCGAGACCTGCAAAAGCGAACGAAAGGCTCATAGCGGCGACTGAGAACGTCTGCAGCCGTCTCTCAAGGGGTGTATTGATTGGTGCGAACTCGACACCCATTATTCTGGTAACCTGTAATTGGAAATCAGAAAATTACCAGCTTCTGCTGAAAACGATTTTTTTGCGAAGAAAAACTAAATGCACAGTCAGTGCTTCGGCTGACGAGCGCTCCATAGCAGCGGTGTTGTTTGGAGCCCTTTTACTTCTATGCTATCCGTCTACATTGTTAGAAAAACGTACGTCAACTGTTGTAAATAGTTTCCTAAGTGGACGTTATGTTCAATAGGCAATTTAACAATAGAGAAATAAGCACACATTCTGCTGATGAACGATGACGGGTGAGTGTTTTTATTGTTTGACAACTGTGTCAGATCTGAACGATTCACGCGAACCTCAAACGCTCTGGACAACACTAGAACCTAATAGTAAGTAAAAAAAACAATTAAAAATATAAAAAATCCGTGCATTCTACTTAGAACGAAGCCATCGAATGGTTTTATTAAATCATTATCGATAATAATCATCATCGTAGCTTCCTACTTGCCGAAATTTGTCAAAAATTTACTGTTTTATGCGTGACAGAATTTAGATACAGTATTGTAATAATATTTTCAGCTATAAAAACCATTAGTTTCTTCATTTGGTGTCTAAAATATCGTCACGGAGCGCGTGTCGTGCCCGGGATCCCATTAATGTTTGTGCTACGTTATTTTATATGTATCATGGAATTGGTGGCTTCTAACGCTAGAAAGTTACGCTCGCAGTGAAGAATTTAACAGTGCGATTCGATCGCGTCCGGCTGATCGCATAATCAGACGCATCGACTTTCCTGATCGAACAATATGGCTTTGACTTTCTTCAGTGACTTTTTTTTGTATATATATTCACAAAAATATCTTCTCTGATTTGTTCTAGCGCTTTTTATGATAGGCCAAATTACTAATTTTATTTCTAGCCAAATTTCGTGTCTATGCACCTGTTAATGTTTACGATAATGCTGTTATTTTTTTACTGTCATAACTTAACTATTAAGCGAGCAGACGGCTTCAAAGCAGCATAAAATGATTGACGGAATATAACGGTCTGATACACGATAGATTTCTGTAAATATCCGCTTATCAATGAATCATTGATTGACCTGCATGGTTGTCATTGATTATCACGCCCAAGGTAGTTATAAGTGAACGCCTATGATATATAAATAAAGATAGACGTTGCGGATATTTAGAAAAACGATATTTTAAGCAATTGTAGAACGTCAATGTTGTTGATCATGTATAGGTTCAATGTTTGTCTTTAAGGCTAAGGTTATGGAACCGAGAATTGATGATTTCAAGTTGCATATTCACTCGTGCCCTTATTACTATTATGTTTCCTAGAATAAACATATATCTATAAATTGCAATGATTCCTTTTGCTAACTGTGGATAGAAATTGGAAATATTATCTTAGAATGATATGGAATGAAATTCACCGAAAATTACTATTCATTATCATGGTCGTGTTATGTAGATGACCAGCACTACCCACCACAGACGCTTCTACAAAACATCTACACGAAAGCCCGCTAGACGTGTGGTAGAATTTAACCGCCCATGTCCGTTGTGTTGATTATTATCTATACATGCACACACGAAGTCGCTAGACAGAATTACCTTTCTTTGAGGCACAGCGCGTGGTTTTTCATTTTCTACGCTCACTCTGGCAACCCCCGGCTGAGGTTCGGTGGACTGATTTGAAGGAGCCAGCAGACTCGCGGAGGTTGGCGCTGCTGTTGATTTATTTAGTGTAGTTGATTCCTGTGATGCTATCGTATCCAAAGGCGGCATGTTGACCTGTTTTAATTCACGTCGAATGATAAAATCACTTTGTATCGAATTTTTGTATCCGGCTTTGGAAGTAGGCCTTATGCATATCTAGAATGTTAGCACAAAACAGGCTTGTACAGATCCAAAATTTAGTTCGTTTTCATCGTTCATTTCTAGCTCGATGAGCCTTTGTCAAACGGCATGATGGAGTATCAGACGCCGCATAGATGTTCTTCATTCTAACCCGTGATCGTCGAATTCAGCGAAAGTAGTCTGTGTTTGTCTAGGATCTCTAAATTAAGATATCAAGTAAGGACTGTGTTAGATATAGGTCGACATTTGGTCCACAGGACACCATTCGGCCTACTGCCTTTAGTGAGGGTGGTGATGACATGGAAGTGCTCACTGCTAGCTTTACGGCTGTAAATCATCATTTCTTTTCATATCATACTTCGTATAGCGCACTTTCTCTATGTAGACGTTGCCGTAAATGAACCTTCGTTTGCTGGCTTAGTTTTATAGAACATCGACAACAATGGAGCATTGTTTATATGATAACAAACGTTACTGAGCCATTATGGTGACCATTGACTTATTACGTAGTATTGATCTTCGCTGAATCCAATCATTGAATTCAAAGTCTGTCGCCATTTTTCTTTCAAAGGCAGTAGGCGTCTACTTGAAGTTATAGACTGCTAAAACTGTTATTATTACTATTACTGCAGTATTTTGAAGGACATAGGAGAAGGTTTTATGCATATTTTTATTAGAACTTATCTACACTTCGTATAGTACCATTTAAATGGGATTTCTAATGAATTCTCTTGATTTAGTTTTAAAGAAATAGCGTATCTAGCTCAACAGTGCTTGTCATATATAGGAATCCTTCAAAATACACAAACTGTAGCATGGCGATGGGTCCGAATTGAACATACCGTCTTCTGCCAAATATTATCACAGCCGGACCCTTATTGCGTGAAAGTTTCGACAACAATAACGCTACTCCTGCAAAGTTAATGGCGTTGTCGTTATTTCTCAATTATTTCGTTACTGTAACACAAAGCGTCCGCTGTTCTTCAATCTGATCTCCAAGCCGAGTCGAACTGAGGTAGCACTTCAAACCTCACACCGCATTCGACAGTAAACCTAAATAACACGAATTAAACGTTATAGTTATGAGTCAGCAAATTAAAGTGAACAAAGAACACTTTTTGTTATATGAAGCTCGTTGTTTAATTTCACGATAGAGATTCGTGGTGTCATGGAGCGTTGTATGCGAGGCTGTTGAACGACGGACCTTTTCCAAGCGGAGTGCCTCCAAGCAGTACTTTCTCCCATGGCTCGATAAGAAGCTTACCATTTTTCTCCTAAGTAGGCATTACTATCTGCGTGAGCTTAGATACCCTTAGTAAAAGCATGATTAAAAATTACGAGTAGGAGTTCCTCTCTTATTTCATTTCCACTTTGTGATAAAGAAATATATATATATATATATATATATATATATTCTAAGTGAATCTGGTTTGCTTTTACGTCTTGAATACTTTAGTGAACCTAAATCATGCCTGAACTGAATAGGCAGATGTTACATATTGAGAAAGTTTTACCAAAGTGCTATAATAGCTTGCTTCGGGAAGAAGAGATGCGGTATATACGGTTTGATCATGACAAACAAGTAATAGTACTGCGATAGAAATTTACGGTAAAATTTTTCCGTACTGCCAATTACCCAAACAGTTCCGTTAGGCCGAATTCGTTTGAGATGTCGTCTGCACCATCTCTATCCTATTCTAAAAATTGTTACATTGAAAAACACTTGAGGTTTATGAAAAAAAAAAAACGTACGTAGGCATTTTTTATCGTCCTTCAAATGTCATCCGACAGAAATCGTTAAAAGTTGAAGCTGACACAATTGTTTTTAGAGTTCATTTTTTACCTCGTTTTAGAGTTCATTGTTATTCCTTTTTTTTTTTTTTTTTTTTTTTTTTTTTTCAATGTTCCATGAGCTTATCGGGGCTAAAAAAGCAGACGGACGTTCTGCTTCCAGCTGTGCTCGAATCGACTTAATAAGCGAGAATACTGCCGAAAAAACTGCACGCGTTTGAAACAAAGATTCATTGAATGTTTTTGATTCAAGGTAAAAACATTTATTTGTCGCACAAAGTCATCTCAGCTTTTAGGAAACCTGTAGCCTCACTCTATATTTCCTTTCTAGGCTAAAAACGTTTCAAAGAATTGTCTCAATGAATCGCTGCTATAAATTTGTTCGAAGTATTTCACAATATCGGTAATAAGCGAAAACAGATTTCTACCGCCTTAAGGTGCAGTCCTAGTTTTTTTTTTTTTTTGCGGAATACAGCCGAGAATCGGCAGAATGTATTAGTACAAAAAAGTATATTGTTCAATAAACATATTCGATCGAAGCGAACCCTATCGACAGAAACAACAACTGGACACAATTACGGATCACTATCAACTTTTAACTCGAATCATACATACTCGCATCGTATTATTTTTTATGCAGCAGTGACAATAGTAAGACAGATACCGAGTTCTTGGAACTCGCTCGTCACACTTTGTCGTCAACGGTCGACACTGAGAACGTTATTATTAACTAAAGTATGTTTATCGAACGCCCAGCTTGTCCGTCATCTTGAGTGGCCATTGCTGTACTTTATATTGATAACTCAGTTACTGTAGAGGTCAATGGTTGCAAATGTTTTTGCCAATCGGTACGAGCAAAACACATAGCATATGCGTACTTCTGCATCTATCTTTCTCTCTACACAAGTGCGCATGGTCGCGACCATCCCCAGTTTTAGTGGTTTCGCCCATGTGGGCATACGTTTTATACGTGCAGTTTACTTTCTATGACGTCCCCACCCTGCTTATGGGCATACGAGATTTTAACGCAATAGATATATTTGTTAGAACGAACAGATCGGTGAGCCGACGTACTAAATGTAGAATCGTCGCTTACGACGCCGTGGTGGAAGAGGTGTGAATATCGTTGTTTTACGTGTTCATTTGTGTAGCCGTTGGTAAATATCATTTTTGTAGAGCTCCAGCGCAACAATTACACCGGATTGACAGTAAACGAATCTTAAACGTGCCTCGGTCGTTGCCACCATCCTCATGTTTACGGATCGACGAGTTGCCCATAAAAACTAGTATACGCCCTGCCGACAAATTAACGATAGGGAGAGACCGACCGACCGCTCTTTTAAGCGTTTCCTTTTGCATAGTGTCGAATCAGAGATGCTTAATCGGTAGAGATCATTTTCGCTGAAGCAAAAAATAGGCGTAAGATAAACACTGAAATTTCAAAAACGAATTAAGGTGTACAATAATAACTTTCAAACATCCCACTTAACGTAATTTACAGCTCGAAGCGATTGTATGGCTGCGTTCTCATTTTTTAAAACTTCACTGACCTTTTCATAAACTATTTCTATTCATATAATATCTATATATATATATATATATATATATATTTTTTTTTTTTTTTTTTTTGATAGTGCAGAGATTGGTGTCGGTTACCTAAATTTACTTCAGAAATTAATTTCCCACGCATTCCGCAGGAGTTCGGTGAAGATGGCGCATTTTGTTTCTAATAGCACGAAGTATCTGACTATTATCATAACATAAGAGCATGTCTTGATGAGGATCTTACCAAGCAGATGGGCTGGATCCAGAGACCTCATAGAATAGAACCTTGCCCGTTACCCAGAGCAGTCCACACCAGAAAACCAACAACGCAGGGAACTCAAAAGCCGCGATATGCCATAGCACCGAATGAAATGTCTGTTCAAGTTTGGTTCGTCGTAATCAGCAGTCCATCAGCCAACTGATAGTTATTTTAGACAGTAATAACTTTAAACATCTACTTAAAAGAAAAGTTATGCATTTCATGTAGGTTAGCGTGCAGTCCAATGAACCGAAAGTAATTCTGATTGTGTACACATTCTCTTTGGAGCACTGCCATAGCTAATACGTAAGTGTAAACTGGCCAAATAGTTATATACTTTAAGTTACCTTAAGCAAAACAGCTAACTGTTTCTTCTTTTACCCGTTGTGTCAAAAACTCATAAATAACAAATTACTGTCTGTTAACAATATTCACGGGTGATATAAAGTATTTTGTAATATATATATGAAATCGGCGCTTTGGGATTACATGCTTTAGCTTATTCGAAAATATTATCACCGTACTACATTGTAGAAAGTCGTGTGCCATTTTACGCTCGTACTGTATCTGGTATCTGCTGTACTCAGGCCATTACGAAGCGCCTCCTTTTCAACTTTCAAGCATCAAAACATAGCCAGAGTCCTCATGCGCATCCGAGGCCTTCTGTGCGCTGCCTACGACCAGGATCGGAGCGTTTTTTCGGCCCTTTTCGTTACGAATCCAGAGGACTGCATGAAGCCCATGCGCCAGTTATCAGTATAACTTCCCGATAGATAGACAGGTAAAAGTGTATTCGTGAAGTCAGTCGATGCGGAACGATACCTGATGAGATAGCAAAAATTGATTGGATTACTCCAATTAGAGCTTTATAGACAATCTCTGATTTCTGTCTTGAGGCATAGTCTTAGATTTTTTTTCTCGTTTAACTTGAAATTGATTTTTTTAGTATTTTAGGCCCGGTGTTTAAGCTCATGCTAAGCTATTTCACATGGCTAACCCCCCAGTACAGAGGGAAGTTTTTCTACGCCCCAAATCGAAGCTAGACTACCATGTGTTTTTAAATGTGGCGGGCAGACATGTCACCTAAACGCATATTATACTGTACATTAAGCTTGTGCACAAACTCATTGAGAGTACGATAGTAGTCTTAGTTACTTAAGGATACCTGTTAATAAGCAAAAATTTCAGTAAATTAAAATTCTAATAGACAACATCTTGGTATTACGAATTTTATGCTTTCTACCGTACTGATTTGCTTGAATAGTAGTAAGTTGAAATCAATAGTTCGAAATAAAAAAGCTTTCTTTGGGGCAACTTAACTTATTTTCACGAACAAATTAAAACAGCATCGATAAGCATCACTAAGTATAAACTGAATATAGAATTTTTCTCACCGAATATTATCGTGTGAAATAAGCAAATAGCTTCAAAAATATATAATCGTGTATAAAAAGACAGCTCCTAGACAAGCATGCGTTTTCTAACTTTCGTCAAAAATCTTACAAAAGTCTTTATATGCCTAGTATTTAGTATGTATGGAGAAGCCTTGCGAGGACCATTCGTATAAACGAAAAACCAGAAACGGAACAGCTTTTGGCAGGGACGATATCCTAGTTCCATTACATGTTTATGGTAACTAAAGCCTTGTTTCAACATTGGACTGCTATTCTAAGGTTTCTGTTATCTTAGCTAGTTAAAATTTAATGCTATGTATTGATTAGTTTAAACAGAGACGCAGAGCAGTATGCAAGCATTTTAAGCTACCTGAGAGACATCAGTGGTACAAAAATACTTTCTTTGATAAAGGATCTTCAGGAAACAGATTTAAACGTCACAAACCGTTGCATGCAATGGCTAGAATCAATTAAGCTGAATAACTTACAGGTACGATCTATCTCGAAGGAAAAACTGTCCAAGAATATGAAATTTTATGAACTAATTTTAAAGTCTATTGGAGAAAGCTGTGACTAGAGTAAAGGTAACAGCTTTAGAGGGCCGCTTAAACGACTGTCAGTCTTAACAGTAAGCTACAGATCGGTTCCAAAAGAAGTTGTACTCTCTCTCTCTCTCTCTCTCTCTCTCGTTCTTTCTTTCTTTCTTTCTGTGTGTATATATATATGTATATATATATATATATATATATATATCTAACTTGCTCTCTTTACCTCTCAAAAGTAACAAGCAAAAAAAAATTCGTTGATATAGTTTTATCTTCCAACAATGTTCATTTGGTACAATATAATATTCTCGTATAGAAATAGAGCCTAATGCAGTACACATGTTGATTCATTATCTATTTTCTGAAGTGAAAATTGAGTTTTAGCTATTACGGGTTTAGAAAAATCATTTACCCCTATCTGCTTAGAAGCATAGCTAGATTCAGGTTTTAAGCAATTTGAAGGGTGACCTGGCGATACTACTTCACTGAAGTGCGTGAGTGAGTGTTAAAATTCAAAATGCGTGACACACGTATAATTTTGCGATCTGGGAAAAGCTCCGGTGCCTTAGCCAGTCTTAGTGGAACGAAATCTCAGGCCTAACCCCGCGACATACGACCACCCGTTCGTCTGTCTCTAAATCGTACAGGTACTAC